TGAAAAGCTAAAAACCTTTGCTTAAATACAAACATGATTTATTTACGTAAACAATTGTTACACAATATATATTATGCATACAATACATATAATTTCTGAATAATTTATACTAATGGTAGCGAAAACAATAAGTCACACACTTAAGAAATCTTCGAATATGATATATTGGATTCAATCGCGGAATATCTAACGTTTATCCTTTCATAGAATTTATAACACGTACTGGAATAAAAAATGAACGGTTTTGGCACAAGAGAAACTACATCTAAATGTAGTTCAGTTCAGTGGCATGGTTATTGATCTCGTATATGAATGTTTATCGTTCTCTATTCAAATTATAATTCAATATGCACCTTTACTTGTCACAAAAATTTTATCTAAAGTGACGAACACTATGATAATGTTAAAGAATAATTAAAACTATAATGTTAACTAAAATTCAAAGATGAATGTTAATTTTGCTTTTTAACTAGTTTTGAATTTTGTATTTACTTGATAAAATAAACTAACTTTTCTAAAAACGATCTAGAAGCAATTTTTACGAGTAATAGTAATATTTTGAACGAAGGATGTTATTTTATAATTTTTTCTAGAATCACATCATATGAGAAAACTTAAAAAAATATTTAAAAGAATGAAAAACATGTTCTATTTAGAATGATTTAATATTGTACCAGTAGCAAAATCATTCTTAACATTTTTAATTATTTAATTTTATAAGATATGATAATTTGAGTTTAAAAAATATTTAACTGAAAATGCAGCTTGAAGCAAGAAGTAATTGAATTGATGATTAATGAACATTAAGTACTATTTTAACAAATTCTTATTCGACATAAAACACTACAATGTATAAAATTAATAATGAATAATGAAATTTGATGAATTACGATTTAAGATTTAGGTCGGAATTATTATTTGATGGAGATATTATTTAAAAATGCATACTAATAACAAATACATTTCGTATCGAATTGATTGTGTAGATAAACGAGTTTTCTTAGATAATGGAACTCATCTAAATCAAATAATTTACTGACCATTCCTTTTTCTCAGAGTGAATTAGTTGATGATAACGGACCACAAGGTGAATGTACTGTTCACCTAGAATTTCCCATCCTAGACCGATTCAACTTCCTTGCACGCAGTACTGTTGCTGTTACTTTTACACCGCTGTGTTTGCAAGACAGTTTTTGTACGTAGATACGAGAACTAATTAATCGAACATCATATTTTAATTGTTCTTAATTGACAATATCTAGCTGTTATGCCTTGATATTTTTCTATTTCTCCATTATTTATATGTTTAAACTGTTTTATTATTGTTAATAGTTTTTTCACCAAAAGGTAATTCGAAAATTTTTTATTGAATTGTATTTACAATATCTAGCTTTCTGTATATTTTTATATTTACCAAATGCGGTTATTATAAAAATTCAAAATGTTATACTTTATTTAATTAAATCATAAATTTAAATTAGTAAAAAGCAATATATGTACGTTTACAATATAGAATTTTTTGAGCGAATTTAAGTTGAAAATTGAAATTAACCTGTATAAATGCTTAAAATATCAGTATCTGTATATATATCTGTATATCTGTATATCTGTTTATTATTATAGACTGTATATTGTGAAGTAAATACTAAAATATATTTCTACATATACAAAATAAATACATAATAGTAGACATATACTTCAATTGAAATCGAATTAACGAAAATATAATGGAATAAAAATATTGTATAATATAGAATAAAAATTTTACAAATGAAAATATGTACGTTCTGTTTATCGTTTTGACGAGCTTCCCACATATCGTATGTAACGTTGTGTCAACCCCTCCCCTCTTAGAAAATAAAATTTCTTTAGCACCGGTAAGTTATAGTAAACGTAAAGGAAAGATATTATTATTATTATTATTATTATTATTATTATTATTTCTGCATTTTAATTACAAAATTGTAATTTTCATTAATATGATTTTGACTCTCTTTGAAATATTTTTTATATAATAAAATATTGAAATATATAAACTAATTAATTTAATAAATTAACTTAATTAGAATATAAAGGTTTTATTAAATTAGATTTTTTTGGACTCTATAATAATTTTCATTTTTCTTCTATTATTAATTTATTTTATATGAATTTTAACATTTACTATATACTTTTTAAGTAAACATTTTATAAATTTTATTTTTGATCCATCATAATTTTAAAACAAATTTATTGATAATTATGCAATTGTATTATTTATTTGTGTTTACTTAATATTTAATTAGATTTCAATTTTGTTTCTATATTAATATATTTTCATGTTTTTAAAATATGAACAAAATGCATAATATAGTCCAATCAAATACTATTATTGGCTAATAAATATTTATAGAATGTTTATTCAAATATAATAGGTGTCGTGAGTGATTTATAACGAAAAATGAGTACATTATTGAACTCGCAAAGATGCTATTACCTTATTATTTATTAACTTAGTGAAATACCGATGTACCTTTGTTAATGATTGGATGTGACCATAGATCAGTAGCTACTGATCTGTCGCCAATACCTGTCAGTAGAGTAGAAGCCGTATTTATGACTATACATCAAGAAAGCGGTGTGACGGGGAATCATGTATAAGTTCGATGGACCATGAAGTATCATGAATTTTTTATTTATTAAATTATTAATTCGTGCCTGTAGAGAATTTTGGACTTAGAAACAATCAATGGGAACAACCTCGTCCACGTATAAGAATTTCAGTTATCCGTGTTAATCTTGAGAAAACACTAAAGAAATGTATGAATATTTGAAAATATATTGAAAAAATTGAACCACCTATAATAGACTGATCACTACAGTCAAATTTAATAAATATTATAACAAGTTTACACAATTTAAAAAAGATTGATTTCAACTGCTTAGCCTGAGCTTTCTAATTATTTTTTCAATTTCGCGAATTATACGAAAACAATTCTAATGATCGAGATGCGAGTGAATTATGTACAAAAAATATTTGAAGATATGAATGCAAAGAAACGAATGATTTTGTTCCCAGGTGGTATTTATATTCTCAATATCATGGGACTTTTTTTATATCGAGAAGTATATAAAAAATTACAAACGAGAAATTCTGTCCATCAATTTAATACGATTCATGCTATGATATGTTACGTACGTTCTCGATAAAAATCTTAAATGAAAATAGTCATTGAATTGCAAATAATTCAGTTGTGAAAGAAACCCAAAATATAACAAACGCTTCATTTCGATCAGTGATATTATGTAAGTAGCTAAAATCCCCCAATCCGTGAAATTCATGCATCATGAATAAAGAATTAAAATAGATTATTTTGTTCTATGAGCGGAACATCTATTCCAAATTGTAATTTGGCTTATAATCGACCATATTCATGTTTTTTTCTAAATACTTATTTTACCTTATTAGAATATGTCAATCAAAAAGATGATATTATTTACCCAATTTTAAAATTAATAATCATTAAGATAGAAAATTGTTAGAAGTATTCAGCCTGCGCATAATTCAATTTCAAGAGGCCAAAAAAATCAATTTAGTGCACGCATTATTGAGATATAAAACACTGCTAATAATTTTCTAATATTTTTCCAAAGCCAAAGTACCAAAAAGTAATTCAATTAACAACTCGCTATAATGAAAATTAAGTTCAAGTTAATTATTGATGAATGTGCGTTGAGCGCATCTTTTTAGATCATTTCTCCAGCATTTCTCTTCATTGCTAAATCACGATTATTAATATGTAAAATCAATGTTGTTGAATATCTACTACTCTGATTTTTTTATGAAAGTATTTAGATTTTAATCACATTTAAATATATAAAAGATTTGAAAATTATAAAAATGTTCTTGAAATCCATTTTACTTTAAAAATATGATTAAACTTTTTATTATTACCGATAAACTAATGAATACAAATTTTTATATATAAAAATAAACTTTAAAAAGGAATTCATATATTTTAAAATCATGATTAGATCAAACTTCGTTAGTTCAGTACTTCTTACTTTTGAATTCCAAAACAAATATAAAAATGTTTCTACCTATATGTATCGAAAAATTATATAACAAATATTTTTTTATATACCTATAAATTTTTTATTATATATATATATATATTCGTATTTACAGTGATGTTTTTGATAATACAGTAGCTTATCGAAGTTCAAACTCAAAATTATTACAAATTTGAAAAATATAATTTTTCGTATTTTAATATTCTAAAGTAGATATTAATGAAATTAGTTATTTATCTAATATTATTTTTAGTTTATTTCTTAATTAATAATTAGTATATATACACACTGAAGATCTGGGCAGTTTTTGAAGGATATTTTTATTTAGAAATTGTAGTTATATTAAATAATTAAATTTCATTCTCCTTGATTAATATTATATATTGTTTGAAAAATAAGAAGCATATGTACAGTTGAAAAAGTAACTATCTTAATTGTTTAAAATAATAGCTTTAGCTCTGCTTTATAAATATTATTATAATTTCTCTCCATTATTTCGAATAAATTTCACGAATATAAAAGTAAATTTATGAAATTTTAAATTTAATATTCAATAAAAAACCAATATTTAATACAAATTATACCTATTTATTAAAAGTTAAACATATCTAACATAAATAATTTTTTGTACTATACATTGAGGTTCACTAAATTAGTGTATTATTCAGAAACAATGAGTACGTTAATTTTAAAAATCAAACGCATTATAGTTATTTTTAAGTATTTATTACAATATTTATAAATTATTGGTTGAATTATTCTCGTATTCACATAATTAAAAAAAATATATCACATACTCTAATGAAAATTGCAACTTCAAATTTCCCAGTTTTCAAAAGTATTATTATTTTGAAATAACTATGAAAATAGTAATTGTCAGTATCCCATATTATTGGCATATTTGTAGATTTAGATTTTTTTATAATCTTTGTCCCTTCTGCTTGTAGGTGTTGCAGAGAGATATCGAGGCTCATGGACGTATTGTAAACTCAGTAGTGAAACTGGGCGAACGAGTCGCTGGGCGGTTTCAACACTCAAAAGAGCTACTGACGGATCAAAACTATTACCAGCAGCGACAGCAAGCGCTTAGAATAGCAGGCTCTCTCGAGCGTCGCTGGCATCTCCTCTTCTTGCGCGCATTAGAGTGGCAATGTCACATCGAGACACTTGCAGCACGAATCCATACTAAAGTAAGCTCGCTTTAAATCACACCCATTTTAATTAAGAATTCTATCATTCCGTATCTCATGAGAATTTGGCTCAATATTTTCACAACTTTAATAATACATGAAGAAAATAAGTAATTGAAAGGTTTATGAATAATATAAGGCATATTATAAAGTATAAAGTTTATTATAAAATAAATTAAATTATTTGTTAATGACTTAACACTTCAGATTATGATTCAAAATTAAAAACATTTTAATTTAATTATTAAATAAGCTGACTTTGTCTTGTTCTTTTCCATGGAAGCGGCAGGTTGTAAATCAAATATAGATAGTATAATGAACTTGGACAACTACCGATGAACAAATTATATGATGCTGTATGCAAAGCCATTAAAAAGATCAAATCGGATATTGATATTGAAATAAAAATATTGAATAGATTTTTATTATTATAAAGCGCATATTAAACTATTTATAAATAATTCCTATATAATAATTATTATTACTAAAATATTTTTATTCTATTTAAAATTGTAAATACTATTTATTTAAAAAATTCTAAAGACTTTTTTCGTTAAACTTCACAAAAATTATAACTGATTTTCATTAAAACACACTAATAAATTTTTTCGGTATTTGTGTATTAATAATAAATAATGATTGTATTACTTAAAACAAATATTGCAACAAATCCGTAATAGTAGATTTTTTAATATTGATAGCATATTGGACATATGAGACATATTGTAAAATAAAATAAAAAGATTAACGTGACTCATCTGTTGCTTTTGTTTACGATATAACGATAAATGTGATTTAAGACATTATATAAAGATAAAAAGATAACAGTCTAAGGTCTTTTGTACAATTTTAATGGATGTTTTTATTGTCAAACGAAGCTATTGTCACACTACATTCGTTTAAAAAAAATTAAATACTGAATACTTAATTTATTTATTATTATAAAAAAAATATTTTATTTAGATGTTATTACAGTTTCATAACAGTGGATTGATTTAATAAATTATTAAGATTAGACTTTCATGCAATTTTTACAAAGTATTAGTTTTTCAAGTATTACATAACCTTATTGTTGTTATAAACAATTTGTTTAATTACCGTACGTTTGCATACAGTTGACAGTTTTGAAACTGTTATTAAATAAATATTAAAATATTAATCAATTATAAATAAAAAAAAAGATTTATACTTATTATTTATCTTATAAATTATTTATTAATTTTTTTAATTTATATTATTTACTTAGGAGCATAATGAAAATCTGAAAGTCGCAGATAAAATACACCGTTATATCCTCACTTAACTATAGATGAATACGTTACAGCTGTCATTTAATTACGACATCCTTTCCGTTACTATTTTTTCATAAATTCTTTCTTTTTAGTTGCTTACTAGACATTTTATAAACTATCTACTGTATGAAAACTTTTAAAACAGCAATTATAAGGTTACATAATACATTAATGACTAATATTTATAAAAGTTTTATGAAATTATAATCTTAATAATTTATTAAATTAGTATTAGTAATAGTATAAAACACGTATCGCTCATTGATATCTTTCAACAATAGTACGAGTTTGTTAAATTATTAAAAATTTATCTTCCATAAAGCAATTTACAAAAGTATGCTAATATTGATAGCATATAAAGTATTATATTTAAATTTATTTTATTTTATATTATTTATTAAATTTATATTATAAATTTATATTATTGATGTAAATTAATTTCAAACTATAATTTAACATTGCGTAAAGTGTTATGCAAAGTACATGTAAATTTAAGTGTGCATTCTAACACGCTGAATCTGCTTCTACAATAAGATATTTCAAAATCTTACTTAATAGTAGATTTAAAAAACTCAAAAAACTTTTAATTCTTAAAATATTGTTTTATTGCAAAATTGGTATTGATTATAAATTTTTATCACCATTTTAAAATAAATATATATATATATAATATGAAAACTAAAAAAGTTTCAGTTAAATAAAGGTAATAATTTTTAGTGATTAAATAATTAAATGATTAAACGATTAAAAAATCTACATGTATTAGCAACATTTCATGTATCTACATTTCATCTACATTTCATCTTTCATTGGTATTTGCATTACTAATATATTTTTTCTTCAATTCAAATAATATAATTAACAAATTCATTAATTCATAAAAAAAAAATTTTTCTATTATATCGATAAAAAATTTAGTAAAAAAATTAATTTTATGTAATAATAATTTTTTTAACCATAAGTACGTGTAAAAACCATTAATTTATAAGAGACAATTAATATTATTTAACGTAGTATATAAAAACATATGAGAGTAAAATTTATTTCCGAATATTTTACAACCTTATAACTTTATTAATTTTCTAATAAAATTTAAAAATTATTATTTCAGGTAGAAGTAAACAGCATTTAAACCTTAATTAGATTTAAAATTTATTAAATTTATAAGTTATTTGATTCTAATATGCAAAAGTTTGTATAACTAAATCGAAAAATAAAAGTGCTTAGTCCAATATATAATTTACTGCTTGTAATTTGCCTCGCATTTAATTTAATTATCTTTTTCATCATTTCGATTATACTATATGGATAATATATTAGCTATTTCTAACCTTATTTAAAGTATTATTTATTTATCATATAGATTTATAACTTAATAAAATGTTTCATAAAATATGACGAAACTGTTGCAAAGAACAAATGCTTATGTAATTATGTATATTATACCTCTTATCCTCCCTTCTCCGACCAATGTTCGAAACTCTTTGACTTCTTGGCTCGAACTGCCAATGTTCGATAGCTTATATTTGCCGTCCGCCCTAGCAAATGCTTGAGAAGGAGTTAAGTGGAAGGACTGTAGAAATACAGTGTATTCTTCTTCAATAAATATAGTTCATTATGTTTTATTTACAATTACAGTATTGATGTGTTGGATGTATCCTACGTTTAATTACAAAGATACGGTTGCTTGGAGCGGTTTTGTAGTTGATATATTACTACATAAGATGCTTCTTGATGACTCAAGGACTCAATAAAATCATTTTTCTCAGCTACTTTATTAATTTTTTTAAATCTAAATTATTTTTATTTGCTTATTCTAGATGAAATTTTTAGGTGAAGTTAGTACTAATAAAGATGTTGATATCCGTTGACAGCCTTACTAATATCACCACGTTTACAATTTATGTGTCAATATATGCGATACATTGGTTATTATACGATCATTATGGTATTTAATAAATACTTATTATTTAAACTTTTAATTAAGTAATATTGTATTTACCGATTCCAAAATTATAAAAACAGAAATTACATTTTGAAAATATTTTTTACATGATCGCATAACATCTAAAAATACGAAATGTTATTATATTTCCAAATTGCTACACAATTTCAGTTAAAAATTTCTTTGAATAAGAATAGTTAGTGAATGTATATTCTTATTTATAACCAACATTTATGCATAATATAGAAATTTGGATTTTAAAAATATTTGCCATTAGTTTGTTAATATAATTTCTAAAACTCCATGAGCATTCAACAAGTTTATCATACAATATATCGTTCGAAGAATCGTATAAGTGTTTATAATAATACCAATCGTACCTAGACTGTCAAAAGAAAAACTATAACGTTAAAATATATTTGTTGTGATATAAACTTGGTTAGGAAATTTAAAAGTTTCGGCATTTTAAAAGTTGATAACTTCTCATTTATTTTAATTTTACCCTCATATGCTGACTTTTCTGATGAACCGTCCAAGGCAATAAAATTATATCTAGATGTATGAATAAATATAAATGTAGATAGATGTTCAAAACTGTTTTATTTCCTGACTGAAACTGCCAATGTTTCGATAGCGTTAATTTACCGCCCGCCCTAGCGGATGCTTGGGAAGGTGTTAAATGGAAGGGCTGTAGAGTACAGAGTATTTGCTATAGTATATACTATAGAGTGTTTGCTTCTTCGATAAATATGGTTTATTAAGGTTTATTTACAATTAATTATTGATGTGTTGAAATTATACGATAGACAGATGTATTCTATGTTCAATCATGGGTGGATGGTGGTTGATAGTTTATCTACCCGAGATGGTCCTTAATGATGGTGATAAATTGTTGCTGATTTGATGCACATTGTTGATTGTCTGACGTTTTCTTGATATGAAGGACATAGTATCAACATCTTTTAATTGCAGCATAGTAGAATTGATGCGTCTTCCTCTATCGTGGTAAGAAGCTTGCTCGTCGACTAGTCTTCATGGATGAATAGCATAACTGATTGCCTCAATGACTGAAAGTCTACTAATGCGCCTCGTGGTGCGCTTGTCTTAAGTAACCACATGGCAGCATTGTTAGCTGACAACAAAGATCATGGCGCTAGAAACAATGGGTATGACTGTGCTGCGAGAAACAATGGAAGCAATGGTGCCCTTGTATCATTTCGGATGTACCGGCTTTTCTGAATCTCCAACAACCGATGCAGATTTTTCTTAGAAATTGAATCATTTCTCCGAAATGTTAACCGTTGAGGTTTTTCCTTGAAATGATAGCCGTTAGGATTTTGCCCCAAATGATAACATTCGAGATTTCTCTGAATCTCGAATAATAAATAAATTTATTTTTACTATTTTTATTTGATATAATATTAGACTCTAAAATAACATTAAAAAGTAAAAATAGTCAATACTACATAAATTAATTAGCCATAAAGAAAAATGACAAATTAGTAGTTAATTACAATTATTGACATAAAGTTTTAGTTGATGAAGTCAATACACCACTTAACATATATACAATACCATTGAAGATTATGACTGCAACTTCAAATAACACTTAAACTTGTAAAAAACAGATAAATTATATACTTAAGCTTTGATAAAAGTTTGGTCATGAGATTTCTTACGTTCTTTAATTTATATTGCTTATATAAACGTATAATTGTAATTAATAAGTACGTTAATAAATATATCTATTTTCAAATAATATTATTTTTAATTCATCTCTTTTTATAATTTTAACATTAATATGTAAAGATATTGTTTTTGCATTTACGTACTAAGTAAATTAAATTAATAAATGAATTATTAAGTTGCAATTAGGCTTTGATATAAAAAGAACAACCGATTTCATTAAATTAACATATCTAATTTGATATTGAATTTAATCTAATTGAATTTGAAAAAAATATTTATATAATTCTTTGCATTACGTAATACACGTATTTAATAAAAAGGTAACAAAAGTAAACACATTATCTCCATATTATCATATATTCGTGAAACATAATGATTTCTATACCAGTTTCGACAATTGTTAGAAAATAATTGAATACATAACAGTTTTCGAATTATTCATAAGGCATTGGATCCGAAGAGTAAACTCCAACATTGTTAAAATATAAACAATAAAATACATGTTTTTAAAAAATTTTATGTAGAATAGATAATTGCATGATGTCGATAATAAAACGAATTTAAACTCTGACTTATTACATAACAATCGTTGTGCCGAACATTGGAAATTCATAAACAGAGACTCAAACCTAGGATAATCAATGTCTAATAAAATATATTCCAAATTTTGACATATTTCCTGTAATGTATATGTTTCTGTTAGTCAGTAACGCTTAGATGCAAGAAAAGTTTACTATAAAGTAACAAATTAAAAACTCATAACTCGATGCAAATGTAATAAAATCTCTGTAACATTTGCAATGAATCTTCGATATTACGGAAAGTAAGTTTTTTCTATTAGTTTTCCAACACATCGTACATCCCTGCACATTATAAACAAAACCATAAATTATGAACAATTTTAATACTAGAATTTTAATTGAAAGTTTTCCTATATTTATATACCGACGCGTTTGTACTTTTATGTGAAACTAATAAGTTAACATAAGAACTTTATGGTTTGCATTTAGATATGTATCTGTATTGACGAAAAAAAAAGTTTGCAATGCGTTGTTGACTCATCAACAATCTCATTACCATCCTTTCCGTCCTAATTCAATTTCTGAATTAACTTCGACCATAAACCAACATATGAATTAACAATTAAAACTTTGATATATCAATATAATTTGGAAGTTCATATCAGTTCAACAAACGTTAATACTTTTTGGAAAACACGCTTATTATATTATATTGCACAGTTGAAAATACTTTAAGTCAAATCTGACTAATCATTATTACTTTAAAGTATACATTTTTAATTTTCTTCATGAGGCTCTAATCGAAATTTAAATAGAACTGAAATTAGTGTTTTAATATCGATCACAATTAAATTTTTTTTTAATTAATCATTTAAAACAATATAATTATATTTAAATACCTTCTTCAGCATCTATACTATCCACTTTACTTATACTATATTATATGGGATGTTCTAAAAACCCTCAACCTCATTATACATGTTTAACTTAAAAAATTCAACAGTTAAAATAAACTGAATAACACAGCTTTTTTTATAAATGTTAAAACATTAATTATTTGCATTAAAATTGTTCATTAATAATTTTTATAAATAAATCTGATCTAAATTTAATAAAGTACATTAGCATAATAATTATTTTCAAATTAAAACATTGTTGTTCTTACTTTATTCTTTAACTTGTAATTAAAATTTTTTTTCTCTGTTATTGAATCTATTATTGTTATTTGTTTAAATATGCGTTAATATAACATTATTATATTAAAATTTCTCAATACTAAATAGTATTAATAATTTACTTTCAATTAAATAAACTCTTGTGTTTTTATTATAATATTATATGTACATTTAAATTGATTGAAATATGATTCAAAAGTTTCTATGCAGAAATATAATAACAATTTAATAATAAAAAACTGAATATAAAAGCAATTTAATTTTAGATGCATATTTAATTTTGACATTTTATTAAATATTGATAGAAAGATTTAAAGTAAACATAGTGGTTGCGATGAAAATATAGACTTTTATATACATTTCAAAACGACAATTTTACTTATTTTGTGTTTTATTATAATATTTTATTGACGCGTGGTTAAGGAAAGTCTTATTAAATTTTAAGTTAAATGTTACAAAACTTTGAATTGTTAAACACCAGTGTAAAAATGTTAATTATGTTATAACATTGCAATTTTTAATTTATAAATTACATTGGACACAATTTAGGCATATTTAAACTTTCATGTAGAAACTATTATGAGAATCCAAAATAAAGCGACATTTGAACAATTTACACTCTTTTTTACCTTGGATTGTTTATTTTCCAGTTGGTAGTGAGTCATTGTAGCAGTGATAGCGATGACGATGAACCTGTAACGAAGCAGCCGCGACTAAGTCGGCAAATGTCCTTAAGTCGGTCTTCCTCAATTACATTACAAAACGAAAACTGCCACGGCTTGATGAAACGCCGCTCTTTAATCCGTGCAAGACGACAACTCAAAACAAAGACAAGACTTGAGGAAATCTGTATCGTCTCTAATAGCAACTCCAAAGAGAGTAGTGAGTCCGTGGCTATCATCGATCCATCCTTCAAATTTGAACTCTCGTCTGACAGCGACATCCCATCCGAGAACAGATTTATCGATGATGAATCATACTTTGAAGTGGGTCATTCAAGTTTATTATGCTTTGTACAATTTCGTTCTATTATATCCTAGAAAATTCTTTTGAATTATATTTTTTGTTATTTCCTGAATAAAAAATAAAAGGAAAAATAAAGAAAATAATGTCATCGGTAATCATTTCTTAATTTTGTCAATCATATATAATTTCGTATCACTAAACTAATTTATTAGAAACCACTAAATACTAATAAGTTTATTTAATTATCTACAATGTTGCTATACTAAAATTAGACATATGTAATTTTATTTTAGATTTTCTAAACTTTTTTTCAAAGACTCAAATGAAAAAATGGATTTTTATGTATCTATGTATAAAAATTTAACTTATATCAATATTAAAATCGAATGAAATAAAATTCAGCTGTTCTTTTAAATATATATTTAATTGGAAAAGATATTCTTTTAGGATGATTTTGAAGATGACATTTTTGGATGTGTTTTGAGCATCAAACCCGTTCGGTTCTTTGATGAAACGAAAAAATTTCCCAGAAAAAGACACTCTAGCATTGGGTTTGGTGATCAGGGCACAGAAGCGGACATAGAAGAGGCCGAATTAAGCGAGGAAGAAACAAATGCATCGGTGAATAACACCGAAAAACATCGATTGATGATGATTCAAATGCCAGATCCGATACCAATAACGACAGCCTTACCAATTAACACGACCATAAATGATAGCCCTAAGCGCCGCAAGACTGACATCGACGAAGCGGCCCTTTTTAATACGTGAGGCTTTTCCCTTTTTTAATTTTTTTTTTTAATTTTTTTTTAATTTTATTCGCACCATATTTTCGTAAAGCATGCGATGTCAAATACTTTCATAATACATGTAAACACTTATAAGACGACAATTAATAATTCAAAAAATTATCTTATATTATCTATATTAACTTATGTATATTAACTTACATATACTAAAATATGTTATGTTAACATCTATTATCTAATAATAGTACTCTTACGACAAAACTAAGACAAAAATTTACATTATGATTTTAACGATAAATATTTTAAATAATCGTTTCTATAAAAATAATATGATTACAACATTTATAACCATGTTTCTTCCGGAATAAGCAATATTTATTAAATAATTCTAAAATAACTTTTAAACAAATATAATTATTTACAAATTTATTAATACTGAACTAATTAGTATTATTTAAGTAGTTAATAAGTAGTTAAAATGAAAAAAAATTCAGTGTACATTGATTCGACTTCAACAATTTAAAATCTATTCTACACAAAATTTACTTAAAAAATTAACATAATAGTTTAAATATAATATTATAAAATATCTTTAAATTATAATTCTTTTTAATTTCAATTTGAACAAATATCAATTAATCAATATAAATTTTCTCTTGAATTTAAAAATTCACATAGCTTCATAAATTTATAGATATACTTTATATTTTATCTAAAGTTGTGTATTCTAATTTAATTATGGAAATAATATAATATTTTAATAATTTTACATAAAAATTAAGTTATAAATATGCTTAAGAAATATATTAAATCTTGTACACTCATTGCTCTTTCGCTGTATAAAAAGTTTTTATTCAACAATACAATAAATACTTGTGTATGAATATATATAAATGTTGTAAATTAATAAATAATTTTTTTATTTTATCTTTTAAATATTTTGTATTTTTATATGTTATATTATTAATAATTATTTAATAATTATTTTATACAAGCACAATTTTACATTTCTATTTAATTTAATTTACGTTTAACTTTCGTTTTATTGATTGAATTGTTAATTATAAAATCATTTTTTTAGTGATTTGATAAAAATTATGATCGTATATCTTTGTTCTGTATTTTATCTTTTTATAATATATTATAGAGGAAAGGTACATTTAACCAAATAATGACGTATTCAATCGAAAGTAGATTAAAAAATGAAATACTTCGGTTAAGTGCTTTAAAATCTTTAATAAATATGTCACATACTGTAATAAATACTTGTTCTTCTTGAATTGTAGTTCCAATAGAAAATCGAAAAATTGCGCGACCTTTTACTTTAAACATATGGATACGGATTCAGAAATTGACAGTAGTGAAAACAATAATACTACCTCAGACGATCATCATTACCTTCAGCACCAATTTCGACAGCCACCAACTGCTTACGAGTCTTCTGAAGAGGAGTGGACATATACCTCGACACGTATGGATGTCAAACAACAACAGCAGCTTCAGCAAAAAAAAATCAAATTACGCTTGGACTTTAATACACTGATGGTTACCGCAAAAACAAAGAAAAACGACAATAACATAGACAATAATATCCATAACGATAAGGTTGCAGGCGTACTTAATAATAACATCGATGGTGAACCGCAACAAGAAGAGAAGAAATATTTGAAAGTCAATAATAGTGATGACGAATGTGCCACCAGTAAGGATAGCATTCAGAAGCTCATTAGAGAAGTGAGTCGTACCTCTTATAAGCTTTTTTTATTTTCCAAAAAATTTAGCATGTATGTGATCTTATACTTTTTAAAACAATATTATATATCAATATGGCAATATATTATTTTAAACAGTCAGTTCATTTTTTCAATGTATATATTACATTTTTATTATATTTAAAGTATATACAAAATATTTTTTATAGTATAAATTTGAAAAAAAACGTGGCAACAATAATTTGAAAGAATAGTGAAATACTGATTAATCATTTTTCATGTATATATTAATTTCAAAATTAACTTTTAATATTATTCAAATACAATTTTGCAAAACGTAACAAGAAAATGATTCATTTAAATTATTTAAATACAAATCTAATAGTAAAATGTTTACATCGTATATAAAAATATATTTATAAGTTATTAATTTCAAAAATCAGATATGAAAAGGTAATCAATTTTAATTTATAAATAATGTTTAAATTTATTTAAAGTAAATATTTATTTTTTATTTTATAAATAACATTTATTTTGAAAATCAAATATGATAAATAATATAACGAGCATACTAAAGATATAAGATTATTATTATAAAATTACGCATTATAATATAAGAATATATTAGCTTTAATTTTTTAATTGAATGTAAGTATAAAAATATTATATAGTAGTATAAACGTATCCAATTATAGCTCATTTATGCAAGCAAATTCTAACCAATTATCGAATCCAGTAACAATATTGTAAATATAATATAGATTGAAACATTCTAAGCATAGCAACTATCTAGATAAATGATGCGTGCAATTTAATGCTTATCTACAGTGTAATTTCGACGCAGGTGGAGAAATTAGTACGTGAGGACAGCAAAGATAAACATAAGGTGCCTTCGTTAATTTTCGATGAGGACAAGAATCTGTTCAGTCCTCAAAATCATCGGGCTAAATATGCACGGATCAAAGAGTGGCTTGCACTCAATTCGACACTTTGCCGCGAAGGCAAATATACCTCACAGGTAAGTTGAGATTAAACAGGTTATATTATGTTTTATGGTGGTTAATAAAGTTACATAGGAACTATGTAAATATAAGCTGAATTTCAATGCAATTTAAAATTACGTAAATGAATAATTTTGTTTCTATTAGTTTAGAAGTATAAATTAGCATTATTTTTAATATATTTTTAATATATTTAGTAATAAGATCTTTTACCTAATGAAAGAGTTTTGTTAAAAGACTGGAATCAACATAGTTAAAGTTCAAAATAATATCAAATCCATTTTAGATAATTAAAATTATTAAAACACTTTAATAAATTACGAAAATGAAAATAAATGATAGTACAAAAAATAATGAGACCTGGGACACTGATGGAGTATAGTATTGTCTGCTGACGGCTTCGGAGACACTGGATAGCTGTGATGCAAGTGGCGAATACACCACCGGCGAGTCTGATCTAGAAAAGCAATCAGAGACGTCCGAAGAAGACCTTCAAAGTAGCGTTGTGACCTGTCGTAGACTTGATAATCTTGGCATTGTTTCACAAGCGACCTCCGCCGAGGTTCTAAAAGAGGATCTAGAAGAAAAAGCAGATGAGCTTAACCTTGTTTCTCTCAATAACCAGCCTCTAGATGTAAACACCTCAAGGGTGGTGCTACGCTCGAAACGTAAAACAACCAATAGTCCACGACCCTGGAGCGTCTCTTGTATCACGCAAATTAGAAAGCGTGCAAGTCTCGAAACTAAAAATAACGATCCTATCTCACAATTCTCGATATCGGAAACCGCTCTGCACCAACTAATTTCCACGTTGCCAACCAAGTCTGCATCTCTCGAAGCAACGTAAGTATTTTTCAACTAACTTCACTCGAAAGTACTGGGTTAGCCAAAATGAAACGTAAATGTCATAAATCTAATAACACTGATTCATAATTTTTGCTTATGTTATATAAAAACTGTTTTTTTTTTTAATTATAAGTAAAATGAATAGCCCTGTTTTCAATGTATATTATTGTGATTATTTTTACTTTAAATATTATTAAATTTCAATAATCAAATCTTTTTTTATTTGAATGTTGATAGTTATAACAAAAATAAAAATAATATATCTAATCGAACTTTATATTTATTTTATAGAGAGTTGCATGTACCTTTCAATAATTCAACATCCACATTATTAGAAGAAACAATAATTAGTCATGATGCTCGCATAGTGAGAAACAGCTCGCTTCGTCGCCGAAAAAATAAATTTCGTAAAAAACCCGTGGTAAGGATATTATCAATTCGTTACTTTTTTTCAATGATATTATTTTGCTCTTTACACGTCTAAAAATATGAAAACTGAGACAATACCTATTATTTTGTTTATTTTTTTATACATCAATTTATACAAATGCAAATGCCAAAGTTCAAAGTCTATTTAAATATCTAAATAATTGACAATCATACTAAGAAAATATTATCATTAAAGATAAAAAATTACTATAATTCCTATTGTTTTATCCATATCTTTAAGTTAGCACGATATACTTTATCCTAAAGATATTTAATTTAAATAAATTTATATTAGTTCTATATTTAATTTAATATTTCGTATATATATATTTGAGTGGATATTTACTAGAACAATGGATTATCTCGGTATAATTTTTATTTTATCGTTCTACAATCTTCATAAAAAGTCTTCATAAAAAATCTTCATTTAAATTAATGCTAGTACATTATTTACATCGCATATTTTATTTTAAATTTTCATGCTCTTAGAGTCGCAAGAGTGAATCCGGTTCAGATAGCATGAATTTAAATAACCAACGTTCGGATTTGTGTGAAGATGTTAACGTCGGTAATAACATGCCACGTTCCATGCGAAAATCTATTAGCAGTCGACAAACTCGCTCAACTCACACTACAACGACGAACATGACCACCACGACGATGACGACAACGACCACGACAACAAAAATTATGACTCTTGTAAAATCGGGCTCATTTTCGGGCTGTAACTTTCGGCAACAAAACAGTGAGTTCACGATTAACAGTGACTCGCAATCAAATCACGCTAATCTGCCTTGGTGCACCATTGCAACATCTTCCGAGTCGGAAGAGAACGAAGAACCAACCTTGGCCGGTAGACTCATGCATACAGAATGCATCGACAACAATTATAACGAAAGCGCTCTCATCAGCAAACAAATGCATGCAACACACTTCAATGCCGGCGACAGCGATACCGAAAAAAACAGTTTGGGCAATAATTCCTTTTCCGACCAAGCTTGGGATAATTATCAGGTATAACATGGAACTTAATAAAATATAATTTTTTCGCCTTTTTCCAAATTTTCAACTTTTTAGAGAAAACTTTAAAGAAATTTTCCCGTCATTTTAAAATGTTCATTTTGATTTTCCAGTGTATTAAAATTTTTAAAATCTATATCGAAATACGTTAGTATTGTACAAACAAATTGTAAAAACAAATATTGTATAAATTATACGAAATTTCACGTTTTTTTATTTGTATAAAATTATACTTACAAAATCATTTTCAGTCACTAGTTAAATCTTAATAAAAGCAAATAAAAATTAATCTATTAAAAAATACTTTGCATAACAAAAAATAGCGCAGATGTAGCTGCATACAATCTTACAAGCAAACGAATAATTGATAACTAAATATTAATCATAAAACAAATTAATAAATAAAACGAAGGTTTTTAATATTTTTGCAATATATTTGTATCATTGATTATTACTTATTTGTTAATTCTTATTATCGAAAAAAAATTATAAATGTATATCTTCTGCATTATTATTTTAATATTATTTTTCATTTTCATTAGGAAAAGTATATGAGCGAACCTTACAGTGAAGCGGTAGATTTTGAAACAGCTAGACATCTTCTTGAATTTGGCGATGATTATAGTAACTTTCTTGACAGTCAGTCTGATTGCGCTTCAAGTTTAAGTGCAGTTCATTATGTAACTATAACAATATTAAATAAATTTATATTTAATGTGTTTAATGAATGCAAGTTAAATAATATTTTCTGTATATATTTTAATATTATATAAGTTTCTGCCAAAACCTAAACATATATTCTTATTATCAGTTTGTTTATCAATATTTAATATATTAAAATATCAAAACTATACATTCATATTTTTTCTCCAGTATTTCATTTAAACCTTCTTAAAAATCTTAAATAATTAAATTTACACTATTCTGTTATCTTCATTTTAGAATGTTGAATTTGTATAAAGAAACATTGTGTAGCATACACTTAATTTATTACATAATTAAAAGTATAATTTGATTAATGCACGATTTATATTTATTACCTAATACATTGGTTTCAATTCAAGATACCATTTAAATAATTTGTATTTCAAATAATCGTACATAATTCAAAGAATTTATAAAATACTTTATTCAAAGTAAATATACAAAATTATAGTACTTACAGAATTTTTTTTTCATTTATATACGTCATTTAGAAATAAGATTTTAATATCAATATAAATTTTAAATATTTACAAAAATATAATAAGAGATTTTGTCTTATTTAAATATATATCGCAAATTTTGTCATAAAGTTTTAATGGCTTTTTATGGAAACTAATAAATGATTACATTTTTTCAATTATACTATTTTTAATTATAAATTAAGTAATCAAATATACTTTTTATTAGTATATCAAAGAAAAAATAATTATTATTTAATAGAAGAGCAATGTTACATCAGAGGATAGCGATAGCGATTCAGAATTACAAAGATTGGCGGAGACATCTTGCAATCAACTTCTGCTATCGGAAAATCAATATGGATCCATGGCTGATAATAGCTTCGTATGTACTGCACTCTTAATATTTTTTTAGTGTATTGAACCTTTTTCGATAAATTTTTTTCCAATAGCTGGGTTTACAAAACGATCTAAAATACTTACAACTTTTAGTATAGTGTTAGATCAAAAGTTATCACTTTCATTTGCACGCTATTTTCTTCTTAATGATGATTTATAAAACAATTTATCCTTAAATTTCAAAGTTTTATTGATTCAGAAATTTTTTTAAAATCTCACGGTTATTACAATAAAAATAGTGGTTAAGAAATAAAAGTTTTCCTAATTAATTAGTTATAATGTATACATTGATATTTTATGCACTAACTAGAATTATTCGAATATTAAACATTATTAATATGCATTTCACCAAGTGTAGAAAATAAGTGAATTTGTTTTAAATTAAAAATTATAATTAATATTATATAAAATTACTTAAGAACATAATATGCAAATTTAATATTTTCATAGTTCTATATAATTCAGAATGTCTTCTTTTTTTTCTTCCACTCTGTTCAATTATGTAATAATTAACATTATATTTAAAACATTTTTTTAAATTACTATATGCTTATTTTACTTCTGATAGTCCATTTAATTTCAGTTTTCATTTATACTTTATTACTTTTAAATATTTTATAATTTATTTCAATTTATTTTTATAAAAATTTTTATGTATAATAATATTTGCTAAATGAGACTACAATTATGAAAAATTAAAATAATACGAAAAATCATGGTACTACAGAAAATACAAATACATACACATTCATATATATTTAGATACTTATTTGCTCAACATACAATCTAAGATAATATGGTATAATAACTAGTAAAACTATAAAATAAAATTTATTTAAAAATGAAATTTTTATGAACATTACATTTCTTTGAAAGTAATCTTGAAGTTATATATAGTTTAATATTATTTTCAATTATTGCAAAAACTCACTTTTAAATATTAACTTTTACTTTAAATATTAAATTTTACTTTAGGCTTATTATTATTTTAATTTTTATAAATCTAAAAGCAAATGATCGTTTTATCAAGATACTAACCGTCTAATTATTCAAAAAAATTATTAAAAATTTGTTCTATCACAGATAATTTAAAAAAAAAAACACATTTTATGTCAATATATTTCGATTTTTAGTATTACTTGAAATATTTTTATATTAATATAACTATTGTTCTCATAGCCAAAATATTTTCCATTTCTTATTTGATTAAATAGAATTTAATATAGTTTTGTAAGTCAATAAAATTATAATTAATAACTTACTTATTGGAAAGATTTTAAAAACAATTTAATAATCATTTTCTTTTATAAATTATTTATATATTCAATAGGATATTTTTAAAACCAAAATGAATTTCACTTTTTATAATAAAAATCTTTCAAATATGTTTAAAACGTGTTAGTGATCAAGTGAGGTAAACCAAAAAATGTGTATTATTCATGGTAAAACGATTTATTTAACTACGAATAACTAAAATATAATGAATAGCGTTTCTTTAATAACCACTCCATTTTATTCTCTATAATATAAATTTGACAATAAATATTATTTTATTTATTACATCGTAAATTATACATTTTTTAATTTGAAAAACTTTTCCTTGTCATGGAGCTATATTAAAAAATTATATTTAACCAATTTTAATTTTAATATAAATCCTATGACTATTAAATTTTAAAAAGATTATTTATTAGAAGATTTATTATTTTCACTGATCTTCACTTCATGTTTTTTATAGATACTCATACTTATTTGATGTATTTTTATTATTAATAAAACGGATTATGCTTAATATCTAAATAATTCAACATATTCTCAAAGGTGCCGTGGTTTTCCATATTTTTTCTTTTTGAAGATTTTTTCAATTACAATAATAATTTATAACATAGAATAAATTTTTGTAGAACTTTATAAATTGAAGAGAATTTGTGTCTTTTTCTTAAATAATAATATGCTGAATACAAAAGAAAATATTGTTTAAGTATTTGATCTAATTTTGATATATTCTATTATAAATAAAACATTTTAATATTCACAATTTATACAACCTTATACAAAAGTTATAGTATTTTAAGTTATCTTAAGTTAATAGAGGTTTTAATAATAAATATCATTAAATTTATCAATTTTATCTAGTTTTTTAAAGTTTAAATCTGATAAATTTAAGTTTTTCATATCAATTTTTCATATTAGTATTATAACTAATAATAGTAGTATACAAATTAAAACCATTGTAATAGTAGTATAGTATCTCTATGAATTTAATTATAAGAGCTTTGCAAATATAACCATATTGTTAAAAATGTTTCTGTTTAAATTTATCACAACAATCGAGAACATTTTTAATATTGATTCAAGCTATACAAAATCATAAAAGAAATCCAAAAGTATGTTGCAATCTTATTTTTTACAATTGTTGTGCACTTATTTTGCGTCATCCTTTTATACTTATTGCGAGGAGTAAATTTGTTTGCATTGACTATATCTTCAAGTTATATTAGCATATTATAATTTTTAGAGACTGTTAAAATGAAAAAGAAGTTATATAACTTAGTGTTAATTAATTTTGTTCATATCTATAAAAATAGTGAATTAATTTGCCTTACCTTTCTATTATAAACAAAAATCCCATGGCTTATTAATTTCTATACATTGGTAATTAGATTAGATAGGTTAATTTTATTTATGATTAAATAAAAGGTATTATTACTAAAATTATAGACTACTAAATACTAAAATGACTTTTGAACAATAAAATAAGATGGCATATGGTATTTGTTTCAGAGTGAACTCGCACGTGTTTGCCATAAAAACATAAAGTGCCTTCAAGCGATATCTGAGGCGAGTAACACATCTCGTCAGAATGATAGACATACTAAGCAAATACATGGTGAGTACTAGTAGAAAAAAATCAACGACTATAATAAATCTATATCGCTAGGTATTATGCACAGTTGCTATTTCCCCCCATTTTAGTGAACTACCCTAGCTTTTTTATAGCGTTAATGTGGTTTATACCCGTTCTTTTATTACATCTCATTTTATCATAATGAGACCCAATTATCTCACTCGTAGAAAAACAATATAGAATTATATAGAATTTTTTCAGATGTTATTCTATTTTGTTTATAGCTTAAAATCGGAATCGGTATATATTTGTTGTTCACACATACTACTATGTATTTTTATTTATACATTCCCTCGATTATTCTCTATTAATATGCTACGGTTCAAATATCTAATTTCTAAATTAATTTCTTTACAAGTTATTTTATATTTAATTATGAATAGTATTATAATTATAATTAGAGTATAGTAATAATACTATTATTTGTATATTGAAAAAGAATACATTAAATTATATAAATTAATTACAATTTTCGGTATTATCAAGCTAGAAAACTAATAAAAATTATTGTTAAATGAACTAATAGGTCGTTATTGATAAATTAGAGCTTAATTATTTATCTAAAATATATAAACGAGATTTTTTATAACTTATATAACAAATATTTTTCCAAATTAACTGCAATAATAAGTTTAAATGGTTTATATAAAAAATAACAGTTTTATATAAAAAAATAAGTTTAAATATATTTAATACAAAAACAAACAATTTATATGAACACTTTTATTTTAAATAGTAATTTTTATTTGTATATTTTTCATTATCTTCATAAAATTACTTTATACAAATCATGTTGATTAGCATAATAAAAATTTATATTTTGGGCATAAATTGCATACATGTACAAGAATTACTTTTCATGTTCTATTAATTACAAATATATATTTAAACACTACATAAAATTTTATGTTTTTTATTTATCTATTATTTTGCGAATTAACTTTGAATGTACTAGTACAAGCTAGTATAAATAATACTAGTACAATTAATATATATTAATTCAATCAAATAAAATATATAAGCAATAAACTTTACATTCATAATTATTATATATCATTTTTCTTATACTTAATTTATATGTCAATATATAATAAATAATTTCTATATATACAATTTGAGGTATTAAATACTTATTTATATGTTTTAAAAATGTATATTTCAAATTATTAATGTAAATGCTTATATTCATAATTGTTTTATTTTAATTTAAATACGTACAAGTAATATTCAATTTAATATATAGCTGAAATTTAATATTTATTATTTTGAATAATTCGTTCTCGTTAAATAATGAACAAGTGATTTGATACAAAACATATTAATGTTTTATATTTTTATCAATATATTAAATAGCCAATCTCTATTTCGAAAATTACGAAGCTTTATTTAAAATTATTTGTTTTAATTATTTATTATATGTTATTCTTATATTATTATTTGAATGTTATTGGTCTTCGTACATATTGTATTAGTAACTTATTTTATACTGAAATTATATATCAACATATACCACTATCTATACATAGTAATTAATCATGCATCCATATATACATACACATATAATGTGTACATACTATATATTTATTAGTTAGTCATTTATTAATTAAACATTTTACTATTTAATTAATTTAACATTATAGTAATTTAGTATTATATTTGTATTTAATCAGTTAATTAAAGATGAATGATATTTAAATCTATGATATGCATAATTTTTATAATTTTATATGTGTTGTTGATAGGTATATTTTAGTAAATTTCTCTTTAGATATTAAATAAATAGAATTTTTTGTAATCATAATATTTAAGAATTCTAGTAACAATATAATTAAAACGGGTTTTAATTTATTAATATCATCCATAATCAGTGTAACCGTGGATATTTATGCTATATAAATAGCCTTTCATTATCTTATTAATTTTATTTTTAATATTTCATTGAATTATAGTGTTAGCTTTATATATTATAAATATTTTGATGAAATATTATAATTGTAATATTTACATTGAAAGTAATTTTTATGAATAGTTGTTAAATATAAAATCGGATTTACATTGAATTTTATTGTAAAAATACTTCCAATTGATTGTTAAATTGACTATTGTCCATTATTAATTAATTAAGTATTATTATTTATTTCTTAAGTAACAGCTGAAATATTGTCTATATAGTTTATCCAAAGATTTTCAAATAAAATATTAATAAACTAAATACAGTTATTAAGTCGAATTGGAATATCAATAAATTATAAATAAATTTGCAATACTAATATCCTGTTCATTTTTATTTGAAATATAAATATATATATTCTTAAATACAATTTTACCTTCAAAATTGTAATACAAATACATTTATATACTGTATTATAAATTATATTATTTTTGTATTTATAAGATGCGTTATACAATGTTATCATTATACTTACATCTAGTAAGTTAAAATATTAAATCCATTACGCTATTGTGAATTAATAATTCTTTATTTTTTCCTAAATGAGAATATACCTTACAGATGTTAATTATATTAAATAACTATTAGCAATAGTACTTAATGCGAGGAAAATATAATTTTAACATTTTAATTGTATGTTTAAAATGCGTAATTTGCATTTTCTGGATTCAATTTTTCTTTAACTTTGGCTCCAATATTATTCAACGCTGAAATGCGAGAAAAGTAGCCCCAAAATAAAAATTCGCTCTTGGCATAGCAAAAGATCTCTACCTACGGAAGTCGAGAAAAGGCAGGCCATCCATATAGAGGTAACGCCAGGCATTTTTTACGTGCGCGAATCAACAAACAACAACAATTGATACCAGTTTCTGTGTGACTTTACATGCATGCTGACGTTCTGCAAACACAACGCTATGTCGATGCAAACTGACTTCATCGCGGCCTTCATCACCCCCAATAATCGTACGTACGCCTTATTTCTTAATCAATTGACAAGTCTTTTATTCCTCTATTAGTTGGTTTCATTATCGTCTTGATTCATACGACTAATAAGTAATCTAATTCGAAATCGACCCATTGTACAAACATCAGAAGTGTAAATTATTACTTTCTACCAGATTATTATATTTTTATCGATGCTTTTCTAGCTTGTATTGGTTAAATCTTGACTTGTTAATTAAACTCGAAAATTAGAAGATAAACATAACATTATTAGGTGATATTTTTCATTTCTATGAAAACAAGGCTCCATTTTAATATTTTCATATAACTTAAATATCTATATTTATAATTAAACAAGCATTAAATAAAAACTTACCTTTATGAATTACATGTGTACAATTAATTGTAAAATAACAAACATTAATTACAAATTATTTCTAAAATCGATATATACATGTTGTACCTCAATTTAATAGCTTGTTTATAAGAAAAATTGATCACCATAGTTATAATTTCTGGAAACAGAAACTTTCTAAATTAATATGAACGAATTAACAACTCGTGGAAAGTACTTGCTTATAGTTAAGGTAAAAAGATGATGTATTCTACAATACAAGCACTTAATCAAAAGCTTGAATTTATCTATTTACAAAATTAATTATATGTGAATAATTAGTGCGATCCAAATGGATTATATTCACCTGTCATGTGCTAGAGTTACTCCATTTTAGTATTGTCAGTATCTTATTCAAGACACTCGTTACACGATTACATTTATAAATCCATTGACTAATAGAATTTTCCCATAAAATGCATACGATAAGAATTTATGGAACAAGAGTGATTCACCTAGACTATTCTGTTAGACCATAATTATCTCTTATCGCACTTGAATTAAATACCAGCATAATAACAATCTGCTTTACTACCCCTAAATACATTTAGCAATTATATACTCTCCATTTACCTTTTTCTTTTACCGAAATTAATAAGAAAATCCCATCAGTTAATTGTTTGAGTTAGAACATGCGTAATATATTGTAATTTTCTTTTATTTAATGATTATGAATACCAAAGGTTTAAACACATAATACAATTGGATATATAAAATGTTTAATTTTTCTAGATTCATTAAATACAACTAGCTTTTATTATTTATTATTTTGTTTAAATAACCTACAAACTACATCATACTATTATTTTATTTGATTTGACAAATGTTTTGCTTGAAGCTATTTTACTATTTTATTGCCAATTTAAAACAAAAATTTGAAAATATCTTTTAAAATAGTTTTATACAGTATTATTTTATCCTAAAATAATATAATATTAGAATTAACTTTTCCATTTTATAAAGTATTAAATTCAATAATAAAATATTGAGAGAAATTTTAAACTTTTATAATATATTAACAATTATTGTTACTCTCAATGATATACTTTAATTGCTTTAATTATTTCAAAATATTTTAAATTAGTTTTATTTTTTAAAGGGGTATTATTGAAGTATTTATATCATTTGACTATAAGTTATAAATTTAAAAGTCCAGTTTGTTAATATTAAAACTAAGAGGGTTATATATATTAGTAATAATTATATTGCATAAAAATATGCATATAGATGTATAATAATTAAGTAGTACAAATTTATTACTAATAATTTTGTAACAATACTTTATTACACATTTATCAAATAATAAAAAACTACAAGAATTATCATTTTTAATAATAATATAAAATATATAAAAATCTGCTTCTATAAATTTCTAATAAAATAACATACATAGTGGAAATTATAAAATTTGTACAACAATATTTTAAATATTTGTTAATTAATTTTCATAAATTATTAAAAAATATTAAATTATTAAAAATTAATTTCATAAATTAATTCATAAATATTAATATTTTCATCTTATTTGGTTGCAGTTAGAAATTTAGATAAAATCTTTTGTTTTCGTAAGATTGTATATTTGTATGACCAAAATGCAAAATAGATAATCTTAAAGAATTAAATATTTCAAAAGTTTTTTACTGAAATATAATACAAGATTCAAATGTGATTAATTTTACGTTCTTTTATGAATCGTGTATATAATTTAATTTGATCCTCATTTTCATAATTTAATAATTTCTTACCATCTGGGCTAATTAGGTTTCTATTGTTACTTTTACAAATTGAAATATTTGTAATCGTAAAACAAATATAAGATTTAAGTATGGGCACTGAATAAAAAATTGAAAGATTTAAGTACAAAAAAATAGTAAGTATGTATACTATTAGGTCTACAAGTATGTAGACGAATTGGATGATACGTAATGAATTATTAGATGTGAACGTTTAAGTACTTTTATTTATTTCTATATGAACAAAATATCGATAATTGTTAATCTGGAAATGTTTGAAAACACAAATAAAAAATTGTATACTAACTTCTGTAGGGTTAGTTATTCTTGCTTTGAAAAAGAATATACTGCAGTTGAAACGAAAATTTCAATGATGAATTTGTATACTTTTAAAAAATTTGAAAAGATTATGTAAAAAACTGCAATATGAAGTATAATGATTATCCTATCCATTATAAGTTAATTTATTTAAATTGTGTAATTTATTTAAATTATTATGACAAAATACATTAAAAATATTTTTCAGAACTCTGTACGCTTATGTTAGTTTTCAATTAAAAAATCTTTATTAAATTTTTCCAAAACAAAAACATAAAAATTCAAACTATGCGAAAAGAAAACCTAGACGTTATATTCCACATACAATCGAAGATTTAATATTTATAATTTTTATAAAACAGAACTAGACAATGCACGTCAAATAAAATGTAGCTTCATAACCACTTATTGAGTTATGATATCAAGCACATATTTTGAATTTACAGGGTATATATTTTAGTCATCCCTGCAAAGTTCTTAAGTACTCAAAATTTAATACATATGTCATAATTAAATTTTCAACTCTTTCATTAAAATACATAGATTTAATATTTACAAACGCTTTAGTTTATAATTAAAATAGTTCCATTTGAATCTATATAAATGATTGACTTGAAATTTTTCATCTAATACTTTTTATTATTATTATAGTTATTTTTTATTTTAAGAAGAAAAAATCTCTGGAAAGTTATGAAATAACATTTTGGTATCGAATAAAATAATGATTATTCACATAAAATAATTATAGTTGTAGTTCAATTTTTTAATAAAATTTCTTTCAAATATTTATTTTCTAATTGTAACAAAGTAGTATAATTGTATACTAATTTTTTTAATATCTCTAAAGAGAATTATGTAAAATTAATGAGTTATTGGCCATAACTTTAATTACTTGTCAAAATTGATATTTAATAATTAATTTCAAATCATTTGAATTTTATTTTGTGAAAGTATATTCAAATAATGATTCAATACAAAAATGTTAAATAACAATAAACCAAATAAGTATATCATCAGATATTTTTTATGATTTTGAAGTTGTAAATTTCATTTGGTAAAAGAAGACAAGCATTTAGTATTTAAGAATCTTGTAAAGAAAGTAATTTGATCAACTGCATGAAAGTTTTATTTAACTTGTCAATTTACCCTGTCGAGAAAATTTATTTAAAATTTTTTGTTAGGAAGAAGAACATAGTTAAAATGGATTTTACGAATTCTTGAGAATATAATTTACGAGAATTAAGTGTTTTTATTTTTAAATATTCATTTAATAAAGATTTTTATAAGATATTCAGAAATAAGTATGCTAATGTAACGTGTACGTGTGCGTGTATGTGTATGAAACATTTTAACAAATATTAGCCTAATATGATTTTTAATACAATTGCAAATATATATTAGATTTCAAATATTTATAATTTAATAGCAAATGTCAATATTGTTAAAATTATACTTAGTATTATTAATCGAAATTATTAGTGTTATAGTTGAACATATAAATGTACATATGAACATATAAATAAATGTATCTTTGTTTGTTTATTTGTTTGTGTGTGTGTGTGTGTGTGTGTATGTTTATATATCTATTAAGTAATTTAAAGTTTTTTATAAATTTAGGCTTAACAGAACGATGGGAATCTCTTTCGCTTAGAGTAGAGGAGGCACAGAAGATAAACGCTATTCATCACGAAATGGCAACCATGAAGTTGGAATTCTGCACAGCAATACAGAAACTTATGTCTTATCGAATCGTTTTAGATGAGTCGCACGTGATCGAAAACCATATCAATAAAATTGAAGTAAGAAAATGATTATATGAAAATTTATCGAATTAAATAAATTATCATAATCAGTAAACTATTTCAATTCACTATAAATACATATTTTATAGACAATTATAAAATACATAACAACATAAACAAGTGTCTCTTTAATGTCAATTTACAAATTTCTCTTATTATTTAAATAGAATTTGGACGATGAAAGAAATAAGTAAAGAAAGATTTTTCAAAAAAATATGTAGAAAATTATGTCAGGTATAGCTTTATTCCATAGTGAAACATAGCCTCTAGCAACAGTTCTAAAAACAAATACATGATTCAAAGTTTTTCTGCGTCAATACTTCACACAATTTAATGGACCCCGGTAAAAAAATTCAATAAAAACATGATACGTTAAAAGCAGCTTTTAATCATAATGATTGTCACCAGTCTATCATTTGTATACATCCTCGAGTCATAACAAAATTCAGTATTGTTTTAAAGAAAAGTATCCAAAAAAAAATTTTGTGACAATAGCGTCGAACAATTTTCATATGTAGAAATAATTCTCCATTACGACATCTTCTCTCTTAATAATAACTGTTCAAATAGTGTTTCTAGTTAAGACAAGTAGAATTATTCATTAAAATAAGGTCTCTCATAAGGTTCTCATATCTCTAATACTAATCTCCTAATCTTCCTAATATCTTTTAAGAAAAGTATTAAATTGATGAAGTAAAAGTTTCATAAATATGATCTAATATTATTCTTTTGTTACTTTTACCTTTCATATATATATACATATATATATGCATATATGTATATATGTATAATTTAAAAAAATCTTTGTAAATGATCACATTTTTAATTAATGTAAAAATTATTAGTAAAAATTATTAATAAAAAACAAATTTATAAAATTTTATACATTTTTTAATATATACTTTTACAAAATCAATTAAGAAACTTATTTAAATATAACTTTAAAAATTATTTAGACGAATATTATTAAAATTCATTTATAAAAAATGTTTATATACTAATGCCATTTTAAATTCAACAATGCATTTCAGAACGAACTGATTCATTTAAGAAATCGCAAAGCTGCTATGTTAGGGTTAAATATTACAACACATCGCCTTATTATGGATCTCAGTCAGCAGATGTCGCCTACGATTGCTGCCTTAAAAGACGAAGTTGCAGAATTGTACAGACTTTGGGATGAAGCATTCCAAAAGTAACTATTTTAATTTATGGAAACAATTATTTCACTTATAAAATACATCTTTGCAATTTCATTATTAATTGAATTCTTTAAAAATTTTTATTTTTTGTAAATGCTTAAATGAATTATTTATTATACACCAATACAAAAAAAGATAAATTTCAATGGTGTTTGTATTTAATTTTTATAAGCTTATTAATTACACGACTTTCATAACATAGAGTTTATTAATATATATATATATATATATATATGTTTATATTTGTTTTAATTAATATTTCTAGAAAAAAATATATGAAAAATTAAAATTTTAAGCACAGTAAGCTATTTGAATTATTGGGACTTAATATTTATAAACATATATTATATAACTAATTGCTTTCCAGAGGAAATCAACAACTGTGCACTTTACAAGCAGTTCAACAGTTTACAATTCGGCTTAAAGAGCTTCAGTGTGCCTTACAGAGAGATAAGGATACTCTAGCAGTGTTAGATGCAGCACTTAAAGCTGGAGCTACAATTGAAGTAGCTTCATCAGTACGAGATGTTGCCCGATTACTTTCGGAGAAACACGAAGTTACTGATAAAGTTAGTTCATTGCTATATAGTATTATTAAATTTATTATTCATATCGAGTCCATAGTAAATAATATAAAAGATAAATTGTTAAAATTGGTAAAAGTATCGATTTAACATTGTTCAAAATTGCAAGAACCCTTCCCAAATCATTAGACATCTGGAAAACCCAAATTGTTATACATCTGGAAAGCCCAAGATATCCATATACCCAAGATAGCCATCTGGGGAAAAAGTCGTTACATCCAAAAGAAAAAATAAGTGCATAGTTGCATCCACTGCTTGTAGCACCACATTTGCCTCAATTATTGTAAGTTCTAACTTTCCTTTCGCGTGGATATTTAAAGCAAGCACGCATCATGTCAGACGCTAGTCAGAATTGGTCCGTCAGAGGTAGTCAGCCATGAGCTAGTCACTCAGAAACACAGGCGCTCCCTTGGGGAGGGGGGGGGGTCAAGTAAGGAAGACGGTCTGTCTTAGCAGGACACCATGGAAGAGGCGCTCTCTTACAAGGGACACCCCGGAGGACGGACGCACACTCTAACAGTGGGGACGCCAAGGAAGAAGGATACTCTCAGAAGAGCCGCTAAGGAAGGTACACGCAACAGCTTCATACAACTACACAAGCAGAACCGCATACACAGTGCCCATAAGCATGAATTTGTCGCACCTTTCTTATATTCAGTGCCACCGCCCACTTTCAAAGGGACTCATTACCAAACGCGCACTCTCACAAGAAGAAGACCATCACACACTAGTTGGCACTATACAAGAAGTGTCAAAAAATTTATGACTTCACACTTCTCCGTGTAAACATGCACCACCAAGCGCACCATGTCAAGAGGATCCAGAGATTTATTACCTCCTACCTTTACATGTAATCTATGCTAACACCACGTGGCAACCACTAAGGAATTGCAAGATATCAACGATTCTCATCATCAACTTAGAATCATTATAGTGTAGTTGTAATTAAAACGCAATAAACAACACGAAAAGCAGATGTATTAAATATTGAATTGAAGCGCTACCCCTCCCACTTATCCATACTTTTCTCCCACCAGTAAAGTGATGGACTTAGTCTAATTTTAAACAAACATCAATATCAAAAGTAAGATCAATATCAGTGTTATTAAATTATTATTACAAAGTAGTTTTAAATATATTTGATTTTGATGCTTATAGTTCATTAAATTATATTTTTAACTGAGATATATTTTCAACATTTTTATATAAAATAAAATTTGCTTTCTTATTATTCCATTAACTTTTGAATTTCAAAAATTCATATTTTCTTAATAATAAATTTTCTTAAAATACAATTTATTTTAGAACTGTCATATAATTTGGAATAAATTATAAATACTAACATGTCAAAATATTTTACAATAGATTGTTGTTCCGGATGAAATAACTACAGAAGTAAAACCAAACATGAACAAGAGCGACAATACTGTGAAATTACCCTTCAATGGCTCTGTAGTTTGCTCATTGGTTGGTCTCGAAGGTGGTTCTCTCTCAGATAGTGGAATCTCGGATAGCGGCAGCGACCAAGAGCTAAGTGTGCGAGAGCGGCGTCTCGCCGTCCTACGCAAACTCACCCGAAGCCTTGAGTCTCAGCTCGTACTAGACTCAGACAACAAAGTTTTAAATGAGCTCTGGCGACGTATTGAGGAGACTGAAAGTGAACTACGGACACTTCAAAGACAATGCCGCGAACTTATCGTAAAGACAGCGGCAAGTGTCAAATTTCGGTCAAATGTATGGCCAAACACTGCACCACATTATCACATTCTAAGGTGAATATTATCTGAATTTTACACCTTAAAAATGAAATTTCATGTATTTTCATGTATATAATAGTAAGTTTTTGTTTTTATTACTGTGAAAGCAAAATTAAATTAATATAATTTAATCATTTCAAAAAATGTTTTAATATATTATATTTATAGAAAGACTAATAAATAACTAATAAAATTTGCAATGGATGGAATTACAAAAAAACATTAAATTTAATATTTAAAACTACACGAGTATAATAATTAGATATAAATAAGCTTAATGTAAATATTTTTTTAATTATTGGCAGTAGGATATGTCAACATATTAATTATTGATTTTATTAAACCTAATATTTCAATAGTAACTTTAAATAACTAAATACGATAAATTTTTTTAATAAAACGCTATATGCTAAATATATAAACTATCATATTTTTCTTTTAATTTTTATAACTATCAACAATAGATTAGTAATTTTTATTTTTACATAGTTTAGTTAGATTTATACGTGTTTTATTATTTTTCAAACGAATAAATTGTATGGTAAATATAAGTTATTAGTTCGTTTTATATATGTGACAAGACTAAAATTTATGAAAAAAAGTAAATATAAATGTATTCATTATGCCTACACAAATAATAAAGTAACTTCTTTGTTAATTACAAATAGAAATTTAAATTTGCTTGTAATGACATCTCCTTTATATACATTTATATAATACATTATATAATTGTAAATAGTCGAGTCGATGAAGTCATGCTTTGCTTGCTATTTCTACTATTAGTTTAAAGAATAATTTTGTATTACAAACCAAAAGTCGTAATTTTTAAACAAATTTCCATTCATTTTCCAGCAAACGCAAGAAGCAGCCACACCTAAAACCGATTATTCTAAAATCGCCTGCACAACCAAGCAATATCTCGAGTAGTTCTATTTTTACGGACGATCATGACAATCCTAGTATCTCACACAACTGGGTATGGCGCATACTACGCACCGCTCTACCGCTTCAACTAGCGTTAGTCGTGCTCCTATGTGCGGCTTGTCTTCTGGAACCTCATTGTTGCGAGGGCAGTAACTCTCTTAATTTGTCACTAACACCGCAACTGCGCTACGTACGCGGCCCGCCACCCGTTTAATTACTGACGACGCCTTATTTTAGCATTTGTTACTCGCCAAAGTACAAGAAAGTTTTGTGTATCTTCGAGTTTGCTTTCTTTGCTCGCCTTCACGTGCCATGAAAAAGTTTGTATATGGCTCTAGACAGTATTGTTGGAAGTATTATTTCCGGAACATTTGTCATTTTAAATCGGCGAGCAATACTTCAATTTTATTTTATCCTTTAATTTTAATGTATTCGTACGTTCCATGAAAGGCAGAGTATGTTGCAATTAGAAATAGATTATTAACGTGCCTTGAATAGACTGAAAGTACAGATTGCATTTTTATGTAGTAAGTCATGTATAAGACACCCGATTTTTTAAACAAATAATTTATTAGTAAAAAGTCAATGTAAAAAAGCGAATTGGGCACCGTCCTATTATTTATTTCTAAGAATAATATGTCTAAGAATAATTTTTAGAATAATATAAAGGTTATTAATAACAAATACATACATATATATATAAATTAGAGACATTTAAACAAAAAAATGTTAAGGTAAGACATAATATGAAATATGACTAATATTCAAACTTTATATACCAATTTTCTAAAGAAAAACATTTTTATATCAATGTAAACGTGCCTTGTACAATTGATTTTTAATTAATATTGCTTAAAAATATAAGAATTATAAAAGAAACATTCAGTCACACAACATAATATATGACATCATTATTTCTGATGATGCAAAACAATATTCGATTTAAAGCTATAGTTGTCACAAAAATATACGATCAAATATTTTCTATGTAATTATGAGTGCAAAAATTGTAATCCCATGTATTTAGTATATATTTTTTTTAATTTATATGTGTAAAGTGCTGAGTACACACTTAATTAATGCAACTTTTAACGTCACTTTTCCCTGACAGAAGTAAACTGAAATAGAAAAAATTATTTTTTTTTAAATCAATTGTTTCAAACATAATGATTAATAAGGATCATGTTTTACATGTAAACTAAAAACAGAAATATAGATATAGCAATTTAGTAAATAGACTTAAAGAAAAAATACAAAGAAATTCATTGTTTAAATATATAAAAGCAGAGTAATACAAAAAGTAATAGTGAAATAATGTGTTCAAAATACATTAACTAGTCATTGAAAAAATAAAAAGTTACTATACTCTCTTGTTTATAAATATTTTCTCTTGCATGTTGATCTTATTATTACGCCTAAAAATAATTGAAGACACTGATCGCTCAAGAATTTATTAAAAAGAAAACTTTTATTACAAGGAAAAATGATAAAAAAATGTTTACGATGTAAACAAACCACTATAATTAGATTAAATAAATATAAAATAACGTTATTTTTTTATACCAATATATATCGTTATACTATTTAATAATAAATTTTTAAATGCTAGATGTTATACAATACATACAATACAAACATACAATAATTAATGAGTGATAAATTTTTTAATACAATATACAGTGATATAAATGACACTTACTATTTAATAACCAGTTGTTTTATAATTTGAACTGTTGATTTTTCAGTGATGTTGACAGTACAAGGATCTGAACATTAAAATTTCCTCAGGAGTAATTGAAAGTAAAAAAAAGCATTTAATGTACACAAATACAAAATAAGTAAATATATAAACTAAGAGAGGATAGATTGAAATAATAGGTACTATCAAGTACAATTTAGCAATTTATGAATGTAGTTAAAGTATATAAAATTGTATAATTTTATAATCCAGCTGTATTTAAATAACATAAATATGTTAAAAAATTCAAAAATACACATTTATGAATAAAAATATATATAATAAATATATTTATATATTATATATTATCTAATATATAATTATATTAGATTGAAAGTTATTTTGTCAGTTTATGTAAATATATATCAATCAAATGATAATCTTGTAGTCTTATATATACTAATATACAATTAAAATAAAAAAGTAAATATTATACTTTGAAATCATTATGTTTATTTACAAAATTTAAAAAACGAAAACATAGGAAAACATAATTGCTCTCAGATCTCACAGTTACTGATATATGTTATACTTTTTATTCAAGTTTAAGAATTATAACAATGTGAATGGTATGATTTGAAATATATTACCTTGCCTTAGCAAACAACAACAAATATTAGTAATAATAGTAACCAAGTTATTATAGTAAGAAATGGCTTTCCATTATTTGGAAAACAAGCTATTTATTTTTCAAAACAATGTAAATGCAAATGCATATTACAATGATGACAATAACAGATCAAAATAAAAAATTTTTAAAAATATATTTATAATATTTTTTTAATTTATTTTCATGTTTTAAGTTATCGCGATAAAACAATTTTTCTTGATTATCAATGAGTTTTAATTATGAATGAATTATATTTTAATATATGTTGCACAATCTGCTTTCTTTATTCATATGTTGAGTGCATGATGTACCTGAAAATAATAAAGTTATTATCTATTTATTACATGAAATAATGTTTATATTGAATATGAAAATTAATGTAATTAGTTATCATAATAATTATCATCATCACTACTGTGTTTATCATTGTTTATTATTTTTATTTTATTTAAAGTAGTCAGTTTGAAAATTCCAAATAACAATTGGATGAATCAATTTTGTTAAAAAAAATTATCAATTGATTGCAATGAAAAATTTCGAGTTAATAGTTTAAAAAAAGTTTTTAAGTATATAATGATAGATAGATATATTTTATGAAAAAGAAAAATTAAAAACAATACATTGACGCATTAACATGTTTATATGTGCAATAACGTTGAATCGTACATATTTCACAAACATTGTAAAATAGCTGTCTAAGTATTTTATTTTGTCATGCCTATTTTTATTCTGTTATATACACTTTCATATTAATCATATTTTATTATATAACTTTCGAATTAGAAAAATAATGAAAATATAAGAAAACAAATAAATAAAGGAGTTCATTAGCACTATTGTGAACTTTTTTATTGGTAAAACTTGATTTTCTTGTAAAAAAGTAAATAAATGAACAAATTAATAGTTTTGTTTGCAGTAGTAAATTTTTATATTTTTGACTAATTTGTAGATCAAGATTTGGTAATAATGAGCGCTTTCGTAGCAACTTTATTTTAACTTTTTAACATTCAACTGCTGTAGTATTTGTTGCACTTAAATATGTTTATATTTATATAAGTAGTAAATTAGTATTTTATAATTGGACGTGTATATATATTTAAATACTTCGAGTTCATAGTTATTCCTTCTTCTTCCTGTTAGTTATTAACAATTGCAAAAAGGCAAAATAAGTATATAAGGAATTACTCAATGTAACGCGCTTAATTCATGTTTAATATCAATAAATTATAATGACTGAGAATAGTGTATACACTAGCTGGCATCCATCAATAGAACGAAAATATATGTATTTGAGTACGAACATATACACATGTAATGTAAACTTAAGCATGGTTAATGGTATAAGTAAACACTTTAATGAAATAAATAACTATTACATAATATCTCTTAAGTAAGATGATTATTCAAAATAGCTAAATGATATTGAATTGATAAGTTCAATCTAAAATAACTTGATTTTTCTTTAAATTACTATATTTCGTAGCGCTCATCCATATTGTTTGTATGTAATAACTACTGAATGGAATTATAATCATATCACGTAGATGATTGATGACAATTGTCTAACTTTCCCTTGAAACTGCCACACAGCTCTTTGATGCCGTGCAATGAATAAGTAGAAAATTTGCCTTTATTCTAGAATCATAATCGCAATACTACCTGTTCGGAAAATAATCCCACAATTTGACTCGTCAGCCAAACGTGCAATAATTAACTTAGAACAAAAAACCCACTAGATGTTGTGTGGGGTTGCCGGGCAAGTAAAGGGTGAATACACTGATTAATAATTAACACATGTCTTTATTATTTCTGTTTATTTGAATTAATTTACAAAAGGGTGAATTACAGACGAACTTTATATTTCTTGATAATCTTGTGGTGTTGAAATATATTTACTATGAATGAAGCAGGTTATAATCTATTGAATATTATCACTAAGAGGTTATGGTGATTGTAATGCTCTGATCCAACACTGGAATGCTATTGTGTTTATCTTAACACGCGTGCAGTTGCCTCTAAATATCAGTCGTAAGAGAGCCTAAATGGAGGTTATGCGAAGCTGTGCGCCATCTGTGGCGGGAACAACTTGTAGTTGGAGGGATTGAGAAGCCAATGTGGCGTTTATAGCTGGTCTTGTTCAAGAGTATGTCCGGGAAGCTTCCGAAGTTGGACTTTATCCGTCCGTCTTCTACATAAGCCGAGAAATCAAGAATGAGTACTAGCTGTAAGGACTTACTTGCAGTGTATCGTGATTTTCCAGTCTCTCTTCGATGGCTTGTTATTACGTTCCCTTGCAATGTTGCAACCCTTCAGTTCTTCCTTGTCTCCAAGTGAGACCACAAGTGGTCAGGTCCCACGCAATCCAGTCTTGATGAGATCAATTCAACTGTACACTAATTCACAATAGTGGAAAGAACTTATTATTAAAACTCAGCTAGCTAAACGACTCATCTCTCCGGTCCTCCTCCGTGAGAGTTGGTCGTGACTTATCCTTCACTGTAAGAAGTATTTGGAAAGAGTAAGTGAGGGTACATTACGTAGTCCCTTCTTAAAATGATTCACTGATCCCGCTCCACTTGGGATCCCTTCTTCCTTTATTAATTAACCAATCAGTGGTTGATCTTGGGTCGCACAATAGATTATGCACGCCTTCATTTCCACTTCCTTCCGGGCTCAGTTCCGAATTTGCTAATTGGGAAAGTGTCGGAAGGTGGCGAGCCTTTTCCATTGGTCACCTCTCTTTGGTTGCCTCATCCCTCTCTGGGACTTGGCTAGAAGAAGGGTCCGCTTGGGCGTGGTCAATTTTCCAATACGATCGACCAGATGTGGCATAGCCAAGAACAATGCAAGCATTGTCTTAAAGGCCGAGTGCGCACGTATGGTCATTGCATGTTGTTGCACGTACGGGTTTTGGGTTTTAGTAAATGTTTGTACTCAATGCTTTACGCATATCTGATATTCGTTTCGAATCTACTTTGGGGTTCTCCCGGCAGTAAACCCATTAGGTTCTACTGCACTGGGAGTATGAGCACGTTCCGCTAGAGTTTTCCAGATGTTTTATGACACTAGTACAAATAATTATGAGCAGGAAAGTTTTGAAGTCTTAAATACAATTTTCATGACATTACTTGTCAGATATTTTATTGCCTTTACTAATCGGAGTCTCTTATTCTCAAACACTACCATTAAAATATTGTTAAACAATCGAAAACTTTCTAGGAAAAATTGATTGCAAGTAAACAAAAATTAAATGATTAA